CTCCACAGATCTCTATTCCTCGCGGTACCGTGGCTCCCTGACCTCGATTCCATCGCCAGGACTGGAGGTTTGCAGCGGGCCATCGCGACGGCACTCCTGGAGAGCAACTGCTGCGTCCTTCGACACGTGGAGAGTTCCCGCGGCCACGTCCACACCGAGACCGACCTGGTCCTCCATGCCGTCGTCGCCTACTCACGTGCACCCTTCCGCGACCTCCTCTAAGGCTTCCAAAAACGTGCCGAAGAGAACGCGATCGAAGGTCACCTTTCAAGGTACGTACTTTTATCATTGCGCATTTTAGAATTTCGCTTTTGCGTTTCATCGCGCGTTTTAAGCACGTAGATTTACAATATACAATATTAACATCTAATAAATTAGGTTAGGTCTATTTATATAAACACTGCCACACAAAATAATCGAGTGCAAGTCACGGGAGAAACTTTTGGGACAACCTAATATAACGCACAAGTATCATAGGTTCCATTAACGAGACTTTATCGCACATTCGTGATCTACTCTATCCTCGATAGCAAACAAACCTCGTTCACGCAACCGTTGTTACCGTTGGAATTCGTTCGGTCCTCGCGAACGACATATTTCCTCGGTTTCGATTATGTCGCTGTAAATTACTTTGTGCGGCTGAAAACGCTGCTCGGGGAGTGGGATTAGCTTCTGAATGAGAGTGGGGAACGTGTTTGTTTACAGAATGCCCAATGACACGGGGCAGTCTACCGAACCTACGTTCGGATTTGGTCGGGGGTGACAACAGTGGCGATTCGACCGAGTCGTTGATCGACGAGGCGGAGGATTATTTGCGACGGAGCATCGATTCGATGCTGACGGTCTCCAGTACCGGTGTCAGCTCGGATTATTGGAACAAGCAAACGGCTAGACGGAGACGTGCACGACGTTACTCCGAGCCTGATCTCATCCGTGACTGGCATCCACCGCAGGATGCCAGACCGTACCTGCCAAAGGTAAATTTCCGTAATTACTCAAGGGATACCCCAAACGGACCTTTTCGATTTCGGTGGCTGACCCTTTCGACTTGTTTTCCATTTGAATACTATTAATTTTTCTTTTAGAAATTAATTTAATTTAATTTAATTTATTAATTTAACACGTTCACGCCGACGTGTACCACCGGTGGCTCGCGTTCGTGTGTCTGTCAGATGGCGTGTACCACCGCGCCGCCCCATAGCGAGAAACAGAAATACCAGCGCCACACTGCGGGTAGATTCTGTAATTCAAGTGAGCTCACTCACTTCTCGTATTCTCATTTCACGCGAGACGTTGCTTATAAAAATACGGAACTACATATAGGGCGGCGCAAAAAGTTTTCGGACCTTCATGAAACTTGGTATTTATGAATTATTTCGGCCTCAAATTACGAATCTGACATAAAAATTCGGAAAATGGTGAATTCAATATGGCCGACATGTCCAATTTAATTAGAATCGCTCGTTAATAGTTTCTATCGGTTGTTTTCGCAGATACCGAGGGATCTCAAACTGAATCACCTTGTGAAGGTTATATCGCCGGAAGGGAGAGTTCTTCAAGGACGTGTCAGATACGTGGGACCTGTACCAGGTCGCGCAGAAGCCCACGTTGGCGTGGAGTTGCCTTACTTGAATGGCTCCTCCGATGGTACATTCCATGGTAGAAGATTCTTCGATTGGTAAGTTAAATTCTATAATTATCTTAACACATAGACTGCCACGTTCTCCATTTAGGGTAACAGGATTTTTCATTAACCTCTCCAGGGATATTGATGTGTACATCTGTTTTTATATTAAAATTATATTAAATTTCCACTGCCATCTGTTTGTTAGCGAACATGTTAAAATTCTATGCCATACTCTGCTAATTACAACAGAAAAAGGTAGCACGCGCATGCAAACATGTCAGGGATCGTACGATGCTCCGTGCTTCTTTAATCGCTGTTAACCGAATGTCAGCACGACTGGCAAATTCTGCCGTTATAAATATGGCTTTGTAGCTGTGTCAAGTCGATGACTATCGCCAGGCAGACTTTGTTACTTCACTGGTACAATAACGAGGTCTTTTATCGAACGCGTGTCGGTCGCGTTTTCGCAGTTAGCAGTTCTCATTAACACAATGCCACTGTTGCGACTCTGCATTATTACTGCAGTGAACTTAACGCTGGCGAAAAAATGTCTAAAAAGCGCGGCACGAATGCTGAATTACGAGAGTGAAACGGTTTTAATAACGCTAAGAAAAATCTGTTAATTTACCGAATATTTTAACACTAAAACTACTGGAAAATTGCAGAAAAATTCAAACCGCGTATGGCACACTTCGAAGTCATTTGATTATTGACAATTCTTTGGCAATTTTTGCAAAGGATCTTGCACATCCTTTTTGACAATTTTTGGAAGTAATTATTCCAAAAATTTGACTTTATTGCAATAGAGAATTAATTTATCGGATTGTTCGCAAAGTTATTTTGTTTGATTCGTTTATAATTTTCTTGTAAAATGTATATACACAATATTTAATCATATGAGGAGCATTTTGGTTTGATACCTTTGGCCATGTTCCAGGTAGTAAAATCATGTGTTGTCAATATATTCTCATACACAGGGTGTTCTAAAAATCTTGGAGGTCCTTAAAAAGGGTGGTTCGGGGGGTGACTTGAAACAACTTTTTCCTTAGCGAAAATGTTGTCCGAGGCTTCGTTGGGAGATATTAACGGAAAACACTGACCAATCAGAGCGCGTGTATCACAGTGGAGCGCCCGCGATAGCTAGGCGGCCGACCAATCAGAGCGCGAGGATCACGGTAGAGCGGCCGCGGTAGCGTACGCTACGCGCTAGGCGGCCGACCAATCAGAGCGTGAGAATGCCGGTGGAGCGCCCGCAGTAGCGTACGCTACGCTCTAGACAGCCGCGCTCTGATTGGTCGGGGGTTTTCTATTAATATCTCCTTAACGAAGCCTCGGACAACATTTTCGCCAAGGAAAAAGTTGTTTCAAATCACCTCCCGAACCACCCCTTTCAAAGACCTCCAACACTTTTAGGACACCCTATATAACATACAATATATGACATACAGGGTGTCTACGTATAAGTTCGAACATACGCAGAGTGTCAATTCTACAACAAATTTCCAACAAAAATTTACACAGACATTTTCTTTGTGTCGCCTTATTCTCGAGTATTTTCACTTTCTATTTTAATTTTTTTTTTCTTTTTTTTTAAACACGTAGTACCATCTAACTCCTCACTCGAAACACTAAAGAACCTGTATCAATTTTTTTCTTTTTTTTAAATCACATATTTTCGATATTTGTTTACAATTTCAACTTAAACGGGACACCCTGTATAACCATCATCCGTTGATTATCGTTCGTTCCTATTTACCAGACAAATTACAACGGCCTGTAACGAGATCCGAGTAGTAAAAAAAAAAAAAAAAAAAAAAAAAAAATTGTCGCCCGTCGGTCGCCACTCGAGTTGCCACGTGAAACCCCCAGCGGCGACTCTCGGTCGCCTCTCGAGTGCAAAGGGTTAAATTTCGTAATTGCTTCGTGTTTTCGAGGTAATAGGCAGCGGTACGTGGTGCGTGACAAAAGCAATTCCGCTCGCGATAAACTCTCGTCTCGGAAGTTGCGCATGCACCTGCATATATGCACATGCAGGCGCGAACGTTGGGGGCTACTTTGCCGGAAGAATGCATAAGTTCCCTGGAAAACTTCGCTCGATAACTTTGTATTACTTTTTAACAACTATTGTTTTTCGAAAAATGAGAGATAGTTCCTTTCGAGGCTTCAACGACTGTTAACAATGACGCGAATCCCCATTTGTTGTTACAATAATACTGGAGGGTAGCTTTCTGTTTCGAACGAAGATTAAAGTGGAATAATACCGTATTGTTATCGGGTTGTTTCATAAGTAGACCGGAGATCCTTGTGCAGAGCAGAATCTTTCCAAACGTGTCCACCAAAATTACGATCTAAATAGTAATTTATTTCGTTCTGTATTGTGATATGATTTTTCGAAATTTTTCATGTTATTGCGTACTGTGTGCATTTCGTAGTTTCTTAGATATTACAATTTTCTCAGGTAGTTGTTTTAAATAAATATGAAAGTGGTTTTCTTGTGTATTATTGTAAGAGTATCTTAGTATCAACTCGAGCATTCTGTAAGTGTTGCACACTTTTTTTTTTCTTTCTTTTTTTTTTTGTAATCAGTGCGCAGATCTGATATTCAATGAATTCGAATTTGACTAAGGTGAGATATTTTTATCCGGCAGAGCGGGTTAGATTCTCGTGAATCGTATAATTCTAACGAGTTCTAGAAAACGAAGCATATAGCGTTACTGTCGCACCAAAGCGAACTTGCTATTTGTGAGTGTAAAGGTCAGCCAAGGAAGCGCGAACTGGAAAACGTGACTGTGATTACGTATTTATGGCGTCGATAGGAAGTATCGTGACAGAATAATCCAGCGAAAACGTTCGTTTCGTACCATTTGACGTTACGTACACGGTTGTTACTGGGAAAGTTGTTAAAAAAGTTGTTGAAAAAAGTTGTAGGAGAACCTGCGACAATGGAAGTGTTGCGTCGGCAAAAGTTTTGAGAAATTAAGTCGCAGACACGCACTTGCCTTTTTACGACCAACATTTATAAAAATGTATATTTATAAAAATACCAAAACATACTTGAAACTATTTTTAAAAATAATGTTTAGAAAATACATGGATATTTTAAAAATACTTATGCACATTTTTATCTAGGGAATAAACAATAAACGACAAATGAAAATGAAATTTCAATTGAAATTTGGTATTTAAGGGATATCTAGTTAGATAACATGAAATATGATTGATTTAAATTCCTCAAACAGTGAACAATCGTCTGTTGTTTTCTTTAAAAGTTCAAATAATAAATCATTTCTCATTGAGCTAATAATTTAAACGAAAGTACAGAGAGAAAAGAAATACTGCATTATTATGCGCTACATACATTGTTTGATGTATTATTATTAAATGATTTATTATTTGAACTTTTAAAGAAAAGAAGGGATGATTGTTTACTGTTTGACGAATTTAAATAAATCATTTAATATATAATGTATAAATATCATATATATTATTATATATATATATATATTAAATATTAGAATCATTATATATAAATATGTAATATAGTACATAAATGGTACAGTAATATTATATTAGTACAGTTTATACCAGGAACAATATTTTCCGAAGATTTGCAAGTTTACAACAGCAATTCAGCTCTAATTACTCTTATAGAATATATACAGGGTGTCCGAAAAGTCGGGGAGGAGCCGGAAATGGGAGGTAGCTGAGACGATTCTGAACAACAATTTCCTTTGCAAAAATGTCGGAGGGGGCTTCGTTAAGGAGATATTAACCGAAAACTCCGACTAATCAGAGCGCGCGTAGACCGTTGGAGCGGCCGCGGTAGCGAAGGCTACGCGCTAGGCGACAGCGTCAATGTCCTTCGATGCACGTCGAGTCATTTGTTCGCGTACAAGCGCGGCCGCCAGCGCGTAAGCCTTCGCTACCGCGACCGCTCCAACGGTCTACGCGCGCTCTGATTGGTCGGAGTTTTCCGTTAATATCTCCTCAACGAAGCCTCGGACAACAATTTCGCTAAGGAAAAAGTTGTTTCAAATCACCCCCTGAACCACCCTTTTCAAGGACCTCCAACATTTTTGGGACACTCTGTATATTTCTTTTCTTCGTGATTGGTCGGAGTTTTCGGTTAATATCTCCTTAACGAAGCCCCATCCGACATTTTTGCAAAGGAAATTGTTGTTCAGAATCGTCTCAGCTACCCCCCATTTCCGGCTCCTCCCCGACTTTTCGGACAACCTGTATATATATATATATATATATTTCAATTTTAATATATATATATATATATAGCTACGATCGATATTTTCATAACGTTTTATAGCCACAGACATTGTAAACATCATTGCTACACGACGACGTAATACACACTCGCGGTCACTTTTCTATTAACAGTGTTCAGTGGCTGAATCGAGCTTAAAAAGTCGTCTGGCTGTACCTGCAATTACAATTTGAGATTACCTGCTTTTATACAGCCGCGATAAAAGCGCATGGAATATCACGGAAAAGATTAGGAATTAATTCCCGCGGGCACAACGAGTTTTCACTTAATTATATTTCTTTGTAATACTTCAAGCATTGTGTTACTATATGTTAGCCACGCAATTTACTCGTTTAGTGCAAGCTACCATAATAACATTTACTCGAGACATATTATCTGATCTTGATTATGCTACTAGCAAGAATTAGAGGAGAATTAGAGGTTCTCGCGTCTGAAAATGAAATTTTCCAATTTTCCAGAAAATGCAATCCAATCGAAAAGTAGAAAATCCAATCTTTATTTTGTTTGTTAAAATAGTTTTTTTTTTTACAAAACTAAACACCACAATAAATGTTTCATCACACAGTTTCCAATAGTCCGTAAACAAAATTTAATCACAGTAGAAATTTTCAACAGTATTAAGTCTGACAGTGAACGTGTTAATTATAGTTTCAAACAAAAATGTCATATCTCAAAGATTTCTGTGCGAAACGAATCGTAAAATAACCAAATGTTCTATAAAACGTAGAAAATGAAAGAAATCTTTCTCTGTAAGAATCTCACGAAAGACATATTTAATATTTGGCTTCCTAATATAGTTTCTCCCCTTGATATAATAAATATAATTATATACATTGCTCTATGTTTAACGAATCGATTCGTTTCCATTTCTCCAGCAGTATTTTATACTCCGGCAAACTTTAATATTAACGCGTTGATTGGCAGACTAATACTCTCGGAAATTTCTACCGTGTTTAAATTTTCTTTACAGAATACTGGAAACTACATAATCAAACATTTATTGCGGTATTTATTTTTGTATCGTTATCGAAATTCAAGAATTTCATTAAAATTCATTTTCTTTCACGCTTAACTTTTGAAATCAATTTTTTCGGCTCTTCAGTGAAAAGCACTGTCGCCCATATATGGCTGACGAGTTAAAAAAACAAAATGGAAAAGTCCCTTCTGGAAATTCCTTTATTTCCATTCTAAAGAAGCAGTCCATAGAA